TTGAAAATTGAACAAGTGGCAGATTGCAATTGGATGATCGGCAGGTGGTCGTAAAATTTTGGCAGGCCACTGTACAAATAGATCATATTACTAGCTGACAATTTTTTGTAAATGTGTAACCACAGTATTCGTTTCACTGTAATTGCATTGCTTGTTATGTCAATATTTGCAAATTTAAGGGGTGTCGGCGACTATCGAATAGTATCCTAGATTCAAAATCCAATTTCTCAACAAATTATATTTTATAAATACGACAGCGCTTCTTTTGTACTTTCAAATAAATGTAACTGAGTGTAGATTAATATATGGGTTAATTTTTAACGATTTTTTAAACATTTGTGTCGGTAACCTAATTTTACGTTTTTCGTAGAATAAAAGTCGGCTCTAGGCAAATTCATAATTTACCTACCTAACATATTGCAATTTTTGTGTATACACTATCTAGAAGGTGCGCTAAATTCAGCATTAGTTTTGCGGTGATTGCATTGCTAATTATGCCAATATTTTCATTTAATTGCAAATATGGGGAATGGTCGGTGACTTTTGCCACGGGAGTGTATAAGAGAAAGCGTCTTCGCAAGGTTTATTAAATCAACTGTATCTATCAGTTATATAACCAGCGATAATTTATAAATCCTCTGCACTTTAAGATGGCTAGTTCTACAAATACCGCTAACTCAGATAGACAAAGGAAAATTTTATCGCTTGAGGATAGAGTAAACATTATTAAGAGAAAAGAAACTGATGCAAATTAAGTGATAAAAAACTGGCAAACGAGTATGATGTAGCCCGTTCGACTATAAGTAACATTCTTCGAAATTCTTACAATCGCATGCAAGCGCAAAACATTCAGATCTGAAGAAGACTCGTATTCAGATAGCGCAATTTCCGTCCTTAGAAGATGCGTTATACAAGTGGTTTCAAAGTTTACGTAGTCGGAATATTCCTGAATCCCAGGATGTTTTGCAGTTGAATTCAGTAGAAAAGTCAAAACGCTAAACTTTATTAACAGAATTTATTAACCAATAAAATTGTATGCTTTAAATAATGTTACACACATACCTCAGTTGTATCCTACCTCGAATATATCCCCGTCCCAAAGTGGGGATATAAACGAGGTATGACTGCTTAATTGCTGGTGTCACGATTGTCGTAATTCTGAGAATTTGGTCTTCAAGCACGTAGACGCTTCCTCAATAAAATTCAGCATTTGATAAAGATTAGATATGTTAAAGTCGTGTCTGTCAATAACACGGACTTTTTCCCTTGCTGCACTCAAGCCCATTAATTCGTCCCATTGCAAGATAAAAAAAAATAAAACCCCTGTAGGTCTTCAAACAGGATACAAGATGGCGCCGACTAATCTGGTAGTGGTTGTTTTTTCTTGGGATTGTGTGAGACAAAAGTTTGAATAAACGGGGAAAGGGCGATATTCTGCTACCAAACACATGATGAGAGTTCGGTTTCGCTCAGGCGAGGAACAATGCATTTCCAAGTGCTATGCGTTGGTTGTGGAAGCCACTGTGAGGTATATAAGTGAGGTAACGCTCTTCGTCCTCATTCTCTTCTACTCATTCTCTTCGTAATTGTCAAAGAAGTCGTTGCCAGGATACTCGTTACTTCCTCCTTCGTTAGTCTGAAGCACGGACTGGCTTAAATACGTTGTAGATACTAAGTATAGAGCGAATGCCGCCAGAAAGAGTATTGTCCAAATTGCTCGCCGTCAACTCAAAGTATGTCGTGTGCATGCGAAACTTGTAACCATTCTTTATGACATTTTATCCTGTAGCAATGAGAGAAAAAAGGGGTCCGGTTCATTTCGCCGACAATCATTTTCACTGACAAATTTTCGTCAGCATTATTTTGAAATTATCCTTTTTGATAGTTTTTGTCGGTGAAATCTACCTGTCGGTGAAATGAATGCCTCCCAATAAATTTTACCCGTTTACAAAGCATAATACGCACAGTTGACACGGTTTATTGTTATGAGAAACTATTAAGAAATAATATACTACTATTCAGGGCTCTACTACTAATTTCCTTAAAAAGTTCTACTCAATCACAACCGCAGTCCTATATTGCTCTGCGGGACGGGTCCACAAAGACTGAAGGACTGCCTTGCGTATTGGACTGGACTACAAGGACTGACATCTCTAGAACGGACAGACGGCTATGAATTCGTTGTGATAGCATAACAATAACGTAATAATAAAATAAATATTCGAACAAATTATGAAACTTCAACTGTGATATGGTGCACGGTGGCTTAAACCGACACTTTTGAAGGCCATTTTCAAATGTTAAGGCTCACCTACGCACATATAAATTTAAAATCCGATTCCGTAGAAGTGTAATAAACATCCTTTATATTCATTCTACGTAGTCATAATGTTTTTTATACAAAAATCTTTAGCAGTAGGTCCTTGAAGTTGAGGGTCAAGCAGCTTTAAGTGACGTCAAGTAAAAGTGGCTGAAAGTGGCTTAGCAGAGGATATGAGGCTGCAGGTCATCGGTTCCATTGCGAACTAAATTACATCGAATACTTCTGGAGTGCAGCGAAGCGCTATTGCCGGGTTAACTGTGGGAGGGTCTAAAGCGTACTGTCCCGGAGGCACTTGCATCGATCGACCTACTGACAATTCGGCGATTCGCTCGACGAGCACAACGTTATTATTATATGAGTGCGTATCGGAATGGCCTCACGCTGAGAGTGGCAGAATTTGCTGTCAAGAAGTATAAATCACACAGAAGAATACAGTTATAGATATTTGAATAAACGGAATGCGACCTGTGGCGGTCACGTGCCATGAACTTGCAGTTTTGTATAACATATGTCGATATAGAATGGAATAATTATGCTTTTCGAGTCATTTCAGAAACTAGTTTATACTTTCCGGGGGTCCTAAGACTTAGACATCTATCGTTATTGTATGTTAAATGTTCACTTTGGCTGGTATTGTTGCAGCGTCCCCCATATCACCATACATTCCTAAAACAATCTACTTCTTCACAACTATCATCTTCAATATCTACAAAAATAAACACTCTCCTTGACGGTTTGATCAATTCTAATGTCACGCAAGGTGTTGCAAGTTCATAGACGCAAATTTAAATTTTAGGTACATATTACAACCAATAAAGTGGTGATTTACATAATCCCATCATAATATCCCCCTTGCTAGCTCCCCTCTATCTCCAAAATTACTGTAACTATCCCACGGAAAAAGTTCCATTTGACCGAACATATCACTAGGCGATGGAGACCGTAAGGTACCTAAGGCGATGGTCGATGGCGGAGGAAGAAAAGCATTGCCAGGGTGAACTCTGGGTAGTTCTAATTTTACGGTTGTTGGGAGCATTGCTGTCACAGGTGGAAGAGTTGTTGAATTTGGTGAGGGAGTTGATGTTGCAGCTGATAAAAGTGCAGATGTTGCCGGAAGTGTTGGTGGTGTAGACGTCGGAAGCGGTGATGTTGTCGACGATACTGACGATGTTGTCGATGGAAGTGATGTTGTTACTGAAGGCGTACAAAAACGTTTTGAGGATGGTGCAGAGCTGTCATTATCTTCTTCATCACTAGAAAGAGTGAGATCGATTATTTCGACTGGACGATCGCGCTTGGACAAAAGCATGCGGCTGATATGTGCCTTGCCAGCTGGAAATCTGTTCGTATCCTGGGGTAAATCGGAATCGCTGTCTTCAGAGTCAGAATCGTCTATGACGATGACTTCCTCAAAAACCTTTTTTATGGAGATGGCTGTAATCTTCGATGGTGACGGTCTCCCCGTTGACCATAAACCATCTGGTTCGATCGTGACTGTTTCCTGATCTTCTGGTACTGATTGTAATATGTGCCTGAAATATCTGTAAGAAGATGTGTAAGAACAAATTAGAGTCACATGTGTTATGTGTATTTACGTCATGTCATAACGTTTGTTTCATACCCATCAACCACAATTTCATCCAACGATGCTATTGATTTATTGCACACTGGACACGTCCATGTAGGTGTTTGTTCATTCATCTTCAAGAAAATTTCACAGTCGAAACACTCTATATGAGTGCAATGCACCGATTTGCAAGGAAGCTTCATACGAAGATGACAGAGCTGCATGTCAAAAACGATCAATAATTAGTACAAAACGAAACAAAATTTGAGCAACTGGCGTGTCTGACTCACAGGATCTTTTAATGAAATAATACTCGTTGTAGCAACTACATCCGCATCTTCTGCCTGCCGCTTCACTGTAAATTGATCGAATCGACGTATTATGAGATAAAACTGAGTGTAAGAGTGTATAACATGGTTTAATGGAGTAGCCAAATAGCTTACTTTTCTCAACGACTTGTTCTTTACTTATAAATTTCTTGTTTTCTATTTTGTTAACAAGTGTTTTCACCGATATTTTCCTTACTAATTGTAGCATAAACGTATAGCCCTGTAAAAAAAAAACTCAATTTCACACCTGACAATATATACTCAATCACAAGACAGTCTTCAAATAGTTACTACCTTGGTTGTTTTGTCGTAAACCATTTCGACTTTATTCACAGTCGACGTGTCCAGTGCAATTAAATGTGTTATATTGGGTGGCGATACTGTCCCTGGACGATTTTTCAAACCCTTCAAATCCTGCAAGATTAAAGAGTGTTAGGGTAAATATAAACTACATAGGAGTATAATCCTTAAATATTGTTGAGTATATCAACATACACCACCCAATCGGTTGTTGTTGACCAAAACTTCGCATCGTTGAGGAAATTCCATTAGAGCATATTCTGACCTCCGTTGTGTAGACAAATCAATATCAGAACAGCAAAATAAACACAGTTGGCAATTGCTCGTGTGCCGACTATGCACATAAAATTATGGAAAAAGAAATCAGTGGGTGAATACACATAATTCAGGCTTTGTACTTTCATCAGTTAAACTCTAACTTACTCGCGTATTTTATCTATTACGTTTCTTGTCAACCTAAATTCGACCGACGCCCTTGTATTATTATCTGATGCTGTTAAAACAATGAAAGCTCATTAAATCAACTCCCAGGTAATACCCATTGAACGTTCAATTAACTTACCGGGGCAATAGCATAGCTCTGGGATTCTATCCAACACTTCGAAAAAGGGTGAGGGTTGAAACACAAGATCTCTTGTAGAGTTCATAGGTGCCTGAGAGTAATCTGCCCGAATAAACCATATGAAAGTCAACATAAACAAATGTTTCGCATTAATTACAAGACACCAACAATAAATGCAAAGTACCTGGAAATGCACGTATAATTAATTGTCCGTGGGTAGAATACTCGCTGTTCATTGCAAGCCACAATTAGTTTAAAAGAATGAAAGCTTATTCTCTAGAACTATTTTAAATAACATACGGTATTTTAGCGTAGGCGTAAATGGCCGCTTTTACTGCTTCATATTCGCTCGAGCCGGGCCTTCGTTTCAGTAGCGCAACCCGCAAACGCTCTATGAGTTCGGCTTTGTTTCCAGAAACTTTTTCACTAGCTTCCCGTAAACAACTTCTTAAGCAGGCTACTTTAAGCTTAGGGATTACTTCGTCACAAAGTCGCTGTAAGGAAAAAGGAAGTACGTATGCAGACGCGCAGATATATAGCGATGTTTGGGAAGTGAAGGTCGTTTTGCAATGAGCTCCGGAGGTTAAACTTGAAGTAGAGAGAAAGGCAAGGTGTCAATCTTTTACCTGACGCTCTTCCATGGACATACGTTGTCTTATATTTCAGTAGGGCTCCACCTTTACGAGGTAGCTTACGATCGTTTTGATAAAAGGGAAAGATTCGTTTAAGTAATAAATAACGGTGAAAGTCCGAACAGCCATATTACTATGGTGTGTTTGAGAGCGGCAATTAATCCGGAAATACAGATTGAGATCCCCTGCCATAATGATTAAATTTCAGCCCCAAACAAGTGCTTATTATTATGTCGTTGAAGTGGTTTTAATTGAGAAGTATTAACGATTATAGTATACACATTTCATAAATACGATTCAACATCGATCATTATTATCTGATTATGTAAGTGAAGCTTTCATTGTAATATCTCTTAAAATTATTGACGCTTCTCAATTAAAAACTACATCAAATGGTATGTTTTACTAGTAAATATTAATCACATTTGTCAGACGGGTACTAGCTGTGCTCAGTTACCAGCAAACTTTTCCGATCTCGTGACAATATTGAGACATTCGCAAGTTAGACTTAAAAATAGAATTTTACAATAGCCTTTTTAGACATAATTGATTCCAAATAAGGTCAGCACTTGACTGATTATGATCGCCTAACTTTGATAAGACGCTAGATCGTTCATATTAATATAAACATCGTCATGACTATATTCTTCGTGGGTAGTGTTGGTTCTTAAAGCTTCGTATATAATTTTACTTGTAAGAAGACTTTCATTATGCGTTTCAACGAAAAGCGAATTCGGATAAGCAAGTCCCATGCCTCTGACGCACCTGATTGATTAATATTAAACTCAAATATTAATATTAATATTAACGCTAACATATAATTGTAGTACAGGAACCAAAGAAGGAAAACATCTGGTTCAATTTGCACGTTGGTATGTGAACTTCAAATTGCTGTCGCTCTTTAAACTGTCTATTATGTTAACAAATAGCTGCTGGAAGAAACGTTTAAAGAATTTAATAAGCCGATTTACAGTCAACAAAAAACAAAAATTTGGCTTATCACTTTATAATCAAAAATCGCATGTATGCATCATTCTTTGAAAAATTCGTAGTAAATTAATTAAACACGCATCAACCTTTCAATATCCGGCAATCTCTTCAATGCTAAAAAAGACCTAGCGCGTTGATCTCCAACATCATGTGCAACAAAACCAGACTGTTATGAATGCGGTTTGTTTAGCATACGTGAAGCAAACCTATCTCACCTTTTTCGTTCTGTTACCATTTAAGTCTGAAGTAATTATTTACCGACAAAGTTTCAACTTAAGCCAGTTAATGTCTTTATATAATATAACTGGGATTAAGTAATCATAACCAAGCTAGAATTACTGTTTGTTTACTTACTACATTAAATGGCATTCTTAGGTTTATACAGTACCTTTGTATTTTCTCTTCAAAGTACATACATCATTATCGATTCATTTAGAGTTTCTAAATAACATCGGTTAAGATCAAATAATGCCACAATAAAGTGATGTCTTCCTTTTCAGGAATCCTTCTCACGAAACTAATATCTGTTACTTCTCTCAAATCACCGCCTGATACTTGTAATGGATTATTATTATTATTATCGTTATAGTTTTAATATCTCAAGTCACATGATCTATGTAACGTATACGAAAACTTTTAAATATCCAACACAATTATAATGTATCTGCCTCTTTCAAAATAGCCGACGTCTTAAATAAGAATGGTATGTGGGTTTGTCATCCATCCATCATGTTTTCCAACATAAGTGCCTTCGATTTCTGGTTGAAGACGTTAATTAAAAGCGTCAGATGGCAGAAAATATGACAGTGAGAGGGTTGTGGTTCTGCCATCGTTAAAGCCGATGTCCATACAATAGTGTGACATTCTTTTAGCTTCTTTACATCTTCGATTCGTCAGAAACTTGTTCTGTCTACATATCTGACGTATTTTGATTATCACAATACAGGCTTCTACTAAAGCTTACGAACTTAGGACAAAAAACAAAGCTGAGCTCCAGCAATTGCTCGAAGAGCTCAAGCAGCAGCTAGGCACCTTAAAGGTTCAGAAGGTAGCCGGTGGTGCTGCCTCGAAGCTGACCAAGATGTAAGTGCAAGCAGAAGGGCGTAAACAGAATCTTATAACGCTCGATGCGGTGATTACGCTTGATAATAACCGTTGCAGATTTTAACTCTAATCATAATGGGTCGATTGGCTACATTTTGTTTGGTTTTTTAGCCGTGAAGTTCGTAAGGATATTGCACGAGTCAATACAGTGACGTCTATTACCACGCGAGATTATCTTCGTAAATTCTATGCGAAGAAAGACCCGAAATCATCATATTCCAGAAAATATCTCCCGCTCGATCTTCGACCAAAGAAGACTCGTGCCATTCGTCGTCGATTGACAAAGGTGAGTACATGTTGTAATGATTCAGACCTTTAAATACTCTCTAAAACCGTTCCACGTTCAATAATAGCATGAACTATCACTGAAGACATTACGGTGAGTCGTCAAGCTTTCAATGCTCGTTCGAATACCAACCATTTCACTGTTCTAACATAACTTTATTTTTAAGAACTCGCAAAAGAGAAGCGGCCTTTCCTCGTCGCACATATGCCGTTAAAGCGTAAATGCAATCACGAACATGTAATAAAACTTTTAATAAATTGTAGCGTCTTGGTTTGTATTGATACATGAAACTTGTATCAAGTTAGCCCATGTCTTCTTGTTCTCGTAGTTTGCGGATGTGCT